GTACCCTGAGGTGTAGCAGTGCCCTATCTTGTGCCTAGGCACTCCTGTATCCTGAGATGTAGCAGTGCCCTATCTGTGCCTAGGGCACTCCTGTACCCTGAGAATGTAGCCACCAGTGCCTAAGCGGCACTGTGCCTAGGCACTCCTGTACCCTGAGATGTAGCAAGCTGTGTCCTATCTCTGTGCCTAGGCACTCCTGTACCCTGAGGTGTAGCAGTGTCCTTCCTGTGCCTAGGCACTCCTGTACCCTGAGATGTAGCAGTGTCCTTCCCTTGCCTAGGCACTGTGTAACCCTGAGATTTAGCACTGTTCTTCCTGTGTACCCTGTAACCCTGGAGTGAGATCTGGTGATGTCACTTCTGTGCTGATCAATGTTCTATTTGCTGGAGACGAAGCGGCACCTGAGGACCCTGCAGTGCCAGGATATCCCTGCTTCCTCCATTCCATGGATCTGTGCTTCCTTCACCCCCCCCCCCTCCAATCAGAGCCCAGCCCCTCCCAGAGAACATGACTCAGGTGTTCAGTACAGGACACACCCCCTGCTGAGAGCCAGAGCCCTCACAATCAGCAGAGAACATGACTCAGGTGTTCAGTACAGGACACACCCCCCCTAGAGCCCCCCCAGCTGAGAACATGACTCAGGTGTTCAGTACAGAGGCCACACCCCCGCTGAGCTAAGCCCTCAATCAGCAGAGAACATGACTCAGGTGTTCAGTACAGGACACACCCCCGCTGAGCTAGAGCCCTCCAATCAGCAGAGAACATGACTCAGGTGTTCAGTACAGGACACCCCCCCCGCTGAGCCAGAGCCCTCCAAATCAGCAGAGAACATGACTGAGGTGTTCAGTACAGGACACACCCCCCCGCTGAGCCAGAGCCCTCCAATCAGCAGAGAACATGACTGAGGTGTTCAGTACAGGACACACCCCCGCTGAGCCAGAGCCCTCCAATCAGCAGAGAACATGACTCAGGTGTTCAGTACAGGACACCCCCCGCTGAGCCAGAGCCCTCCAATCAGCAGAGAACATGACTCAGGTGTTCAGTACAGGACACACCCCCTGCTGAGCCAGAGCCCTCCAATCAGCAGAGAACATGACTCAGGTGTTCAGTACAGGACACACCCCCCCGCTGAGCTAGAGCCCTCCAATCAGCAGAGAACATGACTCAGGTGTTCAGTACAGGACACACCCCCCGCTGAGCCAGAGCCCTCCAATCAGCAGAGAACATGACTGAGGTGTTCAGTACAGGACACACCCCCTGCTGAGCTAGAGCCCTCCAATCAGCAGAGAACATGACTCAGGTGTTCAGTACAGGACACACCCCCGCTGAATCAGAGGCAGAGTTCTCCAATCAGCAGAGCTCTGAGTTACCATGGGGTGTGTCAGACCTCTGCAGAGAGACCACTGCTTCCACACATGGTGCTGGCAGGGGACAGGCTGTACTGCTCAGGCTGTGGCTGCTTTCTGCAGAGGATGGGATTTGTGTTGATCTCCTGGAATGTAATTTGTTGGTTTAAATGTCAGTTTCATTTGGGCTTCAAAGTAATTAGACTTTTTTGAATTTGTAACTTACAATACAATAATATCTGGTGATCCTGCCATGAAGTTCCTTGTTCAGGCACTTCCTGTTATGAGGTGACAACACTCTGTCCCTGTGTCCCAATTCCTGTCCTGTGTTGTCACTCTGTCATTCAGGAAATGCCGGCCCAATTGGACCGAATAAACTGATCCTGAGATAAGTCCACCAGCGACCGATTCTCACCGCCGATTCTCCCAGCCTGGCGTAGCGGTGATACGGCTCCGATTGTTTAACAGATCCGCCGCCGAACGCTGCGCCCCTCCCCCCTCCGCGGAGATTTAATTGCCTTCATTAAACATTAGTGCTGCTGTGACAGGAGGAATGTTCATCAGACACAAGAAGATGAGATGCTGACAGATCGCGCTCCTGGCTTCCTCCTCCCCATCCTCATGGCGGCCTCTGCTCCACCGCAGACGGAAGAGGAGACGGGCGTCATGTGACCGCGATGACTCCATCACCCACACGCAGCAAATGGTCATAAAGGGGCAGCGTGTGAAGGGGTCCTGTACTGGCTCCTCCCCTTCAGTCCTGCACAGGTGTACTGGCTCCTCCCCTTCAGTCTTGCACAGGTGTACTGGCTCCTCCCCTTCAGTCCTGCACCGGTGTACAGGCTCCTCCCCTTCAGTCCTGCACAGGTGTAGCTGGCTCCTCCCCTTCAGTCCTGCTCCGGTGTACTGGCTCCTCCCCTTCAGTCCTGCACCGGTGTACTGGCTCCTCCCCTTTAGTCCTGCACAGGTGTACTGGCTCCTCCCCTTCAGTCTTGCACAGGTGTACTGGCTCCTCCCCTTCAGTCCTGCACAGGTGTACTGGCTCCTCCCCTTCATGCACAGGTGTACTGGCTCCTCCCCTTCAGTCTTGCACAAGTGTACTGGCTCCTCCCCTTCAGTCCTGCACAGGTGTACTGGCTCCTCCCCTTCAGTCTCAGGAGCCAAAACACCTGTGCAAGACTAAGGAGGAGGAGCCGGTACACCTGTACATGACTGGAGGGGAGGAGCCGGTACACCTGTACATGACTGAAGGGAAGAGCCGGTACACCTGTGCAAGACTGAGGAGGAGGAGCCAGTACACCTGTACATGACTGAAGGGGAGGAGTCGGTACACCTGTGCAGGACTGAAGGGGAGGAGCCGGTACACCTGTGCAAGACTGAAGGGGAAGAGTCGGTACACCTGTGCAAGACTGAAGGGGGAGGAGCCAGTACGCCTTTGCAAGACTGAAGGGGAGGAGCCATACACCTGTGCAAGGACTGAACCTGTGGGAAGGGAAGGGGCCTGTACACCTGTGCAAGACTGAAGGGGAGGAGCCTGTACACCTGTGCAAGACTGAAGGGGAGGAGCCGGTACACCTGTGCAAGACTGGAGGGGAGGAGCCGGTACACCTGTGCAAGACTGAAGGGGAGGGGCCGGTACACCTGTGCAAGACTGAAGGGGAGGAGCCTGTACACCTGTGCAAGACTGAAGGGGAGGAGCCTGTACACCTGTGCAAGACTGAAGGGGAGGAGCCGGTACACCTGGGGAATGGAGGTCAGACATTAGTGGAGAGGTGAAACGCGTAGTGAAGGCCGTTCTCTGTTTTTTGTGTGAAGCTGAGATGTGGGGGGGGGGGAGGGGTGCAGGTTGCTCCTGTGTGGGTGGGCTGCTTGTGTTGTATTCCCGCCGTTCTCCTCCTGCACCGTATTCAGCATATAAAGTGTGATCACGCCTCGGACTCCATTTCAAGTCTAACAACGGCACTGCTGCTCCCTTGTGCAGGAATCCGGCAGTTTCCATGGTAACCGTCGGCTCGGATTGTAATACATAAAGAGACAGAAGGATGGGCGCCGCGAGTCGTTCCGCCAATTCAGGACAAGTGTGGACTCTGTCCAAGGTGTTGGAATGGGGGCCAAACTCGGCCCATGTGTGGCCCTCAGGGTAGAGAGGTGGGCCGCCTTCAGAGACCTTTGATCTCCACATTCAATCATTCGATGTCAGCAGCGAGCAGAAAACTAACAATCACATGATGGGGCCCTCGCCGCGTTCACCTGGACAGTGCTGACCGATGCACTGCGCTATCATGGAGGGCCAGGAACAGGAGCGTTTTATGTCATCCTGTGGGAGGGGCCAGGAGCAGGAGCGTTTTATGTCATCCTGTGGGAGGGGCCAGGAACAGGAGCGTTGTATGTCATCCTGTGGGAGGGGCCAGGAACAGGAGCGTTTTATGTCATCCTGTGGGAGGGGCCAGGAGCAGGAGCGTTTTATGTCATCCTGTGGGAGGGGCCAGGAACAGGAGCGTTGTATGTCATCCTGTGGGAGGGGCCAGGAACAGGAGCGTTTTATGTCATCCTGTGGGAGGGGCCCAGGAACAGGAGCGTTTTATGTCATCCTGTGGGAGGGGCCAGGAGCAGGAGCGTTTTATGTCATCCTGTGGGAGGGGCCAGGAACAGGAGCGTTGTATGTCATCCTGTGGGAGGGGCCAGGAACAGGAGCGTTTTATGTCATCCTGGGGAGGGGCCAGGAACAGGAGCGTTTTATGTCATCCTGTGGGAGGGGCCAGGAGAACAGGAGCGTTTTATGTCATCCTGTGGGAGGGGCCAGGAACAGGAGCATTTTCTGTGATCCCAGGGGGAGGGGCCAGGAACAGGAGCATTTTCTGTGATCCCGGGGGGAGGGGCCAGGAACAGGAGCATTTTCTGTGATCCTGGGGGAGGGGCCAGGAACAGGAGAGTCCAGCAGTGGTAGGTGGACCGTCTTACGATTGTAGTCTTGGCGATCCCGGGTTATTGATCAGTGATTAGAGACGATCGGCTCCAATATATCGATCTTCAGATCAGGAGGATGATGCAGAGATCTCGAATGTCCTATAATCCATGGCAGCCAACCAGAGTGCAGCTTCCTGAGCCTAGACCAGGCAGAACAATAAAAGCCGGCGGCTGGTTGGCTGCTCTGGGTTGGTGCACATTGACTCCCGTAGGGACGCAGCCTCCTCCGCAGGCCATCCGCTCTACTTGTCCCTCTCGGATGACTTGGCAGCCCGCGGTCCTCTCCTGGTACAATGTGACCGCCATCCCCCATCCGCTCTCTGATCATTCATCCATCATGACATCCCGCTAAATATGGCAATTACAGAAAAGGGCCCCGGGACCTTCCCGCGGCCCCCCCACCCCTCCCCCACCACAGAAACCGAGAGGATAAAACAGAACAGTTTACGTGTCGCCGACCTTCAATATTCCGCTCAGCCAATCGCTGCATCCCATATTATAGAATCACTTCTGATCCAGACAATGAGATCGTCACAATACCGGGATCACCCCGAGAATTCCAGAGATCACCCCGAGATTTCCAGAGATCACCAGAGAACTCCTGAGATCACCCCGAGAATTCCAGAGATCACCCTGAGAATTCCAGAGATCACCAGAGAATTCTGAGATCACCCCGAGAATTCCAGAGATCACCAGAGAATTCCTGAGATCACCCCGAGAATTCCAGAGATCACCCCGAGAATTTCCAGAGATCACCCTGAGAATTTCCAGAGATCACCTGAGAATTCCAGAGATCACCAGAGAATTCCAGAGATCACCCTGAGAATTCCAGAGATCACCCAGAGAATTCCAGAGATCACCCCGAGAATTCCAGAGATCACCCTGAGAATTCCAGAGATCACCCCCCGAGAATTCCAGAGATCACCCCGAGATTCACCAGAGATCACCCTGAGAATTTCCAGAGATCACCAGAGAATTCCAGAGATCACCAGAGAATTCCTGAGATCACCCTGAGAATTCCAGAGATCACCAGAGAATTCCTGAGATCACCCCGAGAATTCCAGAGATCACCCTGAGAATTCCAGAGATCACCAGAGAATTCCAGAGATCACCCCGTGATTTCCAGAGATCACAACGAGATTTCCAGAGATCACCCTGACAATTCCAGAGGTCACCGGCAATTCCTGAGATCACCCCAAGATTTCAAGAGATCACCCCCGAGATTTCCAGAGATTACCCGAGAATTGCAGAGATCACCCCGAGATTTCCAGAGATCACCAGAGAATTCCAGAGATCACCAGAGAATTCCTGAGATCACCCCGAGATTTCCAGAGATCACCAGAGAATTCCAGAGATCACCCCGAGATTTCCAGAGATCACCAGAGAATTCCAGAGATCACCACAGAATTCCAGAGATCACCCCGAGAATTGCAGAGATCACCCCGAGAATCACCCTTTCCAGAGATCACCAGAGTAAATTCCAGAGATCACCCCGAGATTTCCAGAGATCACCAGAGAATTCCAGAGATCACCCCGAGATTTCCAGAGATCACCAGAGAATTCCAGAGATCACCAGATATAGTGTGACTCTGCTGTTCACAGCAATATATCCTCAACCTTCATAGATCATGTCTATCCTTCACAGCTCTCCTCATCCTACTCACAGCACCAATCTCCTCCATCCTCCAAGTGTACCCAGCTCCTCCCCTCCATCCTCCAAGTGTACCGGCTCCTCCCCTCCATCCTCCAAGTGTTCCGGCTCCTCCCCTTCAGTCTTACACAGGTGTACCGGCTCCTCCCCTTCAGTCTTACACAGGTGTACCGGCTCCTCCTCCCCTCCATCCTCCAAGTGTACCGGCTCCTCCCCTTCAGTCTTACAAAGGTGTACCGGCTCCTCCCCTTCAGTCTTACACAGGTGTACCGGCTCCTCCCCTTCAGTCTTACACAGGTGTACTGGCTCCTCCCCTTCAGTCTTGCACAGGTGTACTGGCTCCTCCCCTTCAGTCCTGCACAGGTTGTACCGGCTCCTCCCCTTCAGTCTTACACAGGTGTACTGGCTCCTCCCCTTCAGTCTTACACTGGTGTAACTGGCTCCTCCCCTCCATCCTCCAAGTGTTCCGGCTCCTCCCCTTCAGTCTTACACAGGTGTACCGGCTCCTCCCCTTCAGTCTTGCACAGGTGTACCGGCTCCTCCCCTTCAGTCTTGCACAGGTGTACCGGCTCCTCCCCCTTCAGTCTTGCACAGGTGTCCCGGCTCCTCCCCATTCAGTCTTGCACAGGTGTACCGGCTCCTCCCCTTCCAGTCTTGCACAGGTGTACCGGCTCCTCCCCTAGACTGAAATGTCTTCTACTGATGTCACCGCAACCAACGCACACTGGGAGCTTCTCACAATGTGCATTAGAAAGTTTCAGGAAGTTAGATAGAGCTCCGCCCCATTTCCTGGCTGGAGTGACATCCTTCTACAAAGTTACAATGTACAGTCTGATCACTGGGGGGAGGGGAGACTGAGGAAATGCCTCTTCTTCCTTCTACAAAGTTACAATGTACAGTCCTGATCACTGGGGAAGAGACTGAGGAAATGACTCCTCCTCCTACAAAGTTACAATGCACAGTCTGATCACTGGTGGGGATGGGGGAGACTGAGGAAATGCCTCCTCCTCCTACAAAGTTACAATGCACAGTCTGATCACTGGGGGAGGTGAGACTGAGGAAATGCCTCCTCCTCCTTCTACAACAAAGTTACAATGCACAGTCTGATCACTGGGGAGAGAGAGAGACTGAGGAAATGCTTCCTCCTGCCTGCAGCAGACTGATGAGTGAGCCTAGACACAGTCACTGGACTGAAGGATGGATACTGTAATTGGGGGGTTTTCTGTGAGACAAACGTCAGGATTCATTCCGGCAGATTTTACAGATTTAATGACAGGTCCACGTTAAGGTTTTTAAAGGGCCGGCGTCCTTCCTGAACCCTCTGATGGGGTCTCGGTGGCTATAAATGGCAGTTGGGCAGAGCGGCAGTAGATCCGCTCCTCCCCCTCCGATCGTCAGACAATAATATGGATGGCGGCTCGCCTCGGAATGTAACTTTTATGTTTTCACTTCACTGGACCTTTCATTTTACTGCTGATGAAAAATAAATGACGGCTATCACATTAGCGGCGGATAAATGTGCGCAGACGGTTTTAGCTGCTTGCTTTTGCATTTATTGTGTGCTATTGATCCGGTGATTGGTTAAATGATCTAATAATTGGCTCGTTAATCAATGGCGATGTCTTATTCGATAGGCTGAAAGCATCTATCCATCCGTCTGTCTATAATCATTGATCACTCTGATTGCGCACATAAAATTGATAGCGTTTTTGGCCGCCACGTCTGCCAGGTTGTGCGTAAAATCATTCATCGCTTCTGTTTTACCATGACGGCGACGCCGGAGAATATCGGGGAATCGCGCTCTTCAATTTACCTTTTTAAGTGGAAGTGATGGCGTTGACGGCGGCGCCACAATTTATGTCCAAAACAAACTTTAGTCTGACAAATTGTTTTCTAATTGTATTTTTATTTTATACTCTGGATGCAGTATATATATATATTAACTCTGCAGATTTATCGGACGGCCCCTCTTTTATTCACCAGAAGGGCCCCCACTTATAACACGGCGGAATAAAAAGGCTTCCTCAGATCTTACCATGGAAATGAGGGGAGGAAAAAAAAATGTCTCTAATGGCGCAGCAATCCATCAGGAGTCTTCATCAGGGCTCAGAGGTGTTGGATGTAGAGTGGGAGTCTTCATCTGGCTACAGAGGTGTGGGATTGGTGTGGAGTCTTCATCGAGGTGCTCAGTGGTGTTGGATGGAGGGGAGTCTTCATCTGGGCTCAGAGGTTGTTGGATGGAAGGGGGAAGTCTTCATCTGGGCTCAGAGGAGTTGGATGGAGGGGAAGTCTTCATCGGGGCTCAGAGGTGTTGGATGGAGGGGAGTCTCCATCGGGGCTCAGAGGTGTTGGGATGGAGGGGGAGTCTTCATCGGGGTTCAGAGGTGATTGGATGGAGGGGAGTCTCCATCGGGGCTCTGAGGTGTTGGATGGAGCGGGAGTCTTCCTAATCTGTGCTCAGAGGTGTTGGATGGGAGGGGAGTCTTTTCATCATGGGCTCAAGAGTTGGATGGAGGGGAGTTATGTCGATCGGGGCTCACAGACGGTGTGGGTGATGGCGGAGTTTGTCTTCCTTCGAGGCTCAGAGGTGTAGGATGGAGGGGAGTTCTTCCAATCGGGCGTCAGCGGTGTTTGGATGAGAGGATGGCAGGTCTTCATCGGGGCTCAGAGGTGTTGGATGGAGAGGAAAAAAAGAAAAAAAACAGTTTTCCCCCCTTTCTCATCGGCTCAGGGTGTCTGGATGGAGAGGGATCCATCATCGCGGGCTCAGAGGGAGTTGGATGGAGGGGCGTCCCTCCAACGGGGCTCCGAGGTGTTTTGGTTGGAGGGGAGGTCTTCATCTGGGCTCAGAGGTCGATATGGATGAGAGGAGTATCCTTCATCTGAGTCTTCATCTGGGCTCAGTGGTGGATGGGGGGGAGTCTTACGGGGCCGAGGGGTTGGATGGAGGGGAGTCTCCCGGGGTCAGAGGGTTGGATGGAGGGGATCTTCACGGGGCTCAAGGTTTTGGATGGAGGGGGGTCTCCACGGGGCTCAGAAGTGTTTTATGGAGGGGAGTTCCCCTCGGGGGTCAGAGGTGTTGGATGGGGAAGATCTCCATCGGGGGTCAGAGGGTTGGAGGGGAGGAGTCTTCATCGGGGCTCT